GGGGGTGGGATCGGCCCAGAGTGGACCCGTGACTGTGTCAGTTACCTACCCAATCTTGCCACCCTCCCAGGGTCTGCGAGGACGCGCGGGCCGGCACACCCGACGAGTTCTCTGATGCCCCCAAGTGGCAGCGCTGTGCTTTCCCCGCTATATCCTGGCTCGGAGTTCAGACTGCTGGTTTTATTTGGGATCATCTCCGTGTACTTTACCCTTGTGTGTATTTACTTATGGAATCCTCTTCCTCTAGTAGAATATTAAATCCGGATACTTGAAATCATTCCACAGAAGTGAAGTAAGGGACAATGAACAAACAGCCGCATTTGGAATAGCAGGAACCAGACCTGTCATTAAGAACCCCAAGATCTTCAAAGTTTAAAAGTTATGCGTCCAGAGAGCTTCTGACCTGCGACAAACTGGAGCTGCCAACCCCGTCCCTTATGATTTCTGAACTTTGGGGCTTGCTGATAGTGCGCTGTCTTCATTTGATGGTATTTGCTTCCATTTCTGAGGTGTCCAGCCTTCCTCTCTTCTCTCCAAACACCTGCCTCTCCTCAATCCTACTGTCTATAGAGTGGAATGGGTGGGTGGGCAACACAGACAACCAGAGGGACAGAGTTCAGGTGGGGTGGGAGATGATTGGATACCCCAAGTGCAAACTGCTGCTTTCTGATCCTTGCTTGCTGATTTATTCCCTTTCAACTGTGTAATTTTCATGACGTTTAAAAATGGTGTAAAATACTAGTATTTTGCCTTCTTAAAAATACCTTGATATCTGAGTTGCACATTATGTTGAAAGTGTTGTCTTCTTTCTAGTGGCTTTCTGGTTGGGTCCCTTTTATTGGATAAACAACCATGAGGACGTCTCTACAAGCGGTTGCCAAGAACTTGGTGGCTGAGAGGAACGTTTCTGAAAAACCACAGCAGATCTTTCCTGTCAGAACTGAATTGTGGGACTGACTTGCTTGCTGTTCTTGTAGATTTCTTAACAAGCAGTGTTCTATGTCAGATTTGTGAGCTTCACCACATTCGCTTTCCTGAACTTCCTCTGATTACCAGCCTAAGGCTGTTGAAGCTGAGGCTGAGGGGTCCTCACTAGTTCTCTCCACTTTATAGGAGACTTTTTCTAAACACTTTGCTTTCGCTGCTCTTGTGGCTTTCATTTTTGTGAAGTCATCCAGGCCACTGGAGCTTGGTTCTCTGAGATCAAACTCAGGATTGGCCTTTGTGTGAGGCTAAATGATGTACATATAGTTCTTTGGAATGATGCTGTTTGGTGGAAGGACTATTAGAAATCAAAAGAAGAGTTAATAAATTCAGTGTTACTCAGTTAAGAGAGCCTTTTTGTTTTACCAACCATTCCTGACTCTTGGCTACCGTTGGAAACATGGAAAGCTGTGCTTGCTCCCAGTAAAGGGCCCTGCTTTAGTTTTGTTGTTGTTGTTAGGTGCCATCGAGTTGGTACCGACTCATAGCGACCTATGCACAGCAGAACGAAACACTGCCTGACCCGGGCCCAACCTCACTACTTGAGTCCATCAATGCTGCCACTTGGCCAATCCATCTCATTGGGGGTCTTCCTCTTTTTCTCTGATCTTCCACCTTACCAAACATGATATCCTTCTCATAGATTGACTTAAGTGCCTGCCCATCCTCTGGTGGCTGTCTCCTGAAGTTGTCACAGGTGCTGCACCTGACCCATCTGTGGGATAGGGCCAAGGTAGAGCAATCTATGTGGGAAGTCTTCATGGCTCCCTGCTCCTGGCTACCTGGATGGCAGGATGAGATCTCCGAAGGAATGGAATCAATATTGGAGCTAATTTTAACCACTTCCCCAGAACTCCCCAGGAGAGCTGCGCTAGCTCCTTCAGTTCTGAGAGCTGAAACTAAGCAAGACTTCCTTCTCTGTGGAAGCTATTTCAGGCCACTCACTTCCTATGAGAGGCTTTGAGAGCCGCGTCTGACTTTCCAGGGAGTGAGAAGGGAGAGGAAGGGAGAAGCTGATGCAGAAAGTGGTCGCCCCAGAGCCCCTGAGAGGTGGCAAGCATAGCCCTAGGCCAGGAAAGCAGCCCCTTCCCCACCTCCCCATCCCCTAGGAGTCCTGTAGAGTTCTCATCACCTTTCCTTCCAAGGGCTTTTCACTTCCTGTTTCTTCTCTCCTTCTCTGCCCTCATTTCACCCCCACCCTCACACACCAGGGAGCAAAGTTTTTCCTGTGACACCCCTGGGAGAAGAAGGGATGGTCCATCAGACACCCAGGGTGCCCCACTCAAAGGCAGCCTGGCTACCCTCCAGAGACAACAGGAAGCCCTGAGGTTTTGAACACTCAGTTTAATTTAAAACAGGCACAAGTGCAAACAATTCACAAAAGTTTCTAGGGAAGATGCTTTTGTTTTTAAAATGCTGATCCTTAAAAAACAAAAGTCCTTGCTAGGTTTTGCCCCAAAGCAGGCCAGTAGGGAGCAGAGGAATCTAAAAATATTATCTAGATAGGGTCTGAACACCTGAAGTTCTTCCCTAGAATTTCCTGTCTCATAGCAGCCCTGAAGGTGGGGAGGGAAGGAGGACAAGGAGACAGGTGTCTGAGGAAGCAGCTAGGGGTAGATGGGTGGACAGGTAGAGTACCCATCCTCTTGACATGATGGAACCCCCAAAACTGGATCCCCAGAACAGGATTCTGAAGAGAAGAATGGGTTCCTGATGGCCTGGTTATGGAGATGAAGTTCAGGGGTGCAGCAGTTTCTCTTCCCTTATTGTCTGTGACTCTCCCGGCCAGGAGAAACTCAGAAACCTTCCAGCACCCCAGTATGGGTTAGATGCAATTCAGCCTTATTCACTGGTCAGGTAGAAACATGAGACTTGAGTAGTAGGAAGCCAGGCCGAGAAAACAGGTCCCTTCCAAACTGAACTTAGTAGGCAAGGGGATAGGGTAGCCTTACTGATGCTGGCTGTGGGGCTGTTGGGGTGAACTTTCTCTCCTTACATACTACCACACACACATACACATTTCCTCCATCCTGAAAAGTAAGACCACCTTTACCTTCAACCCCATTCTTCCTCTTTCATTTAAAAAAATGTCTCCCCTCCCCTCCTGTGGCCCAGAGCAGGCAGTTCACAGTTGTGAGCAGGCTGTGGAGGGAGGGTGTGAGTCAGTGAAGTGGGATCTGGTGGGACTGTACCTTCAGGAAATCAGACACAAGGGAAGGAGAAGGACTGGGGCAATAAAAACTTTCCCTGTGGCCCTCTCCAAACCCTCCAGGATACGGAGCTGGAGCTGAAAATAGCAAGTATCCATGTGAAGACAGGCCGTCTGCCCTCTGGGGTGGCCTGGGATGCTAGGGTACAATTATCTTTAAAAAAAAAAAAAAAAAAAAAAATGGCAGCAGCCCTTCCTGCTGCTTTGGCCCCAGGAGCCAGGAGCACTGATCTCCACATTGCTTAGAAATATCCCTGTGAAAATTACAAAGGGTCATCCTGTAGGAGGGCTCTATCATCCCCAAGGCGATTAGAGCCTCTCTGGGGGTTGGGGGGAGATTGAGGGGGCAGGTCCGGCCTGGCCCAGTGCGTTGGAGGGCAGAAGGGTGGGGTGGGACTTCACATTCAATCTTTGGAGAGAATACTGAGAGAATGAGGCAGGTGGTCCTGCTGGCAGGCTGGTAGCCCAGTAGCCCCTGCCTGTGGGCACAGGCGTTAGGCGCACTCTGAGATGGGCTCAGCAGGTGGAAGTCTGCTTTCGGTAGAGATGGATCAGGGGCACCAGGCACTCAGGCAGCCCCGTCTGTAGCAGGAAGGGGTGATCCAGGAGCTCCTGGGCCGTGGCTCTCTCCTGGGGGTCTCGCACCAGCATCCGTTCCAGGAAGTCTCGTAGCACTGGGGAGACCTGTGGAGACAGGGCATGGTTTTCAGTCACTTGGGAATGACTCGTAGGCCTGGCCCTGTCATCATTTAATTTTCTGGTTTCCTATTTCCTGGTTCCCCCTAGGCCAGTCTGCCTCTAGGGAAGCTGAGCAATGGAATTAGGGTTTGAGCTGGCATCCAACTACAGCCCACGCCCCACCCCTACTTCTCAGGACTCTCAGTGGTCAGGGCCTCCAATACTCTAGTTCTAGGTCTATCCTTGATATCAGGCAAGTTGCAACTTTTCTCTGCTTTAAGTGAAGAAAGTAGTCAGGAACAAGGATGTGCTTTAAATAATGTTGTTGTTGTTAGGTACCATCAAGTTGGTACCAACTAACAGCGACCCTATGCACAACAGAAGAAAACACTGCCCAGTCCAGGGCCAAGCTCACAATTGTTGCCACAATTGAGCCCACTGATGCTGGGGGTCTTCTTCTTTTTCTCTGACCCTCCACCTTACCAAACAATAGGAAAGAACAAAGTGGGCCTAGAAAAGGAAGATTTCTTTTTTGCTTTAAGCCTCCTAGTTTAAGACAAGGACTTAACGGACTTCATTTTGAGCCAGTATCTTAGGATGAGACCGAGTCTCAGTCACATCCTTTGGGTTGGGGAATTAACCGATTGGAATTTTCCCCTATAGGATAAACACCGACTGCAAACCACAAGGTTGGCAGTTAGAACTTACCAGCTGCTCCATGGGAGGAAGATAAGACTTTGCTCCCACAAAAATTTAAAGCCTCAGAAACCCTACACAGGGTTGCTATGAGTCAGAACCCACGTAACAGCCCTTAACAACAACAACAACTGTTCATCTTAGGGTTAGTGTTTCGTTGTCTCCGGAGGTTATTTCCTGTCAGTCCTCACAGCCAGGTATCTTTGGACATGTTGGGCCATGGAATTATTTAGAGACTAGACCCCAGTCTTCTGGGAATTTCTTGCTCAGGCCACCAGATGGCAATGCTGTTTTGCAGCCCTCTGCAAGTGTACACAGGTAAAGCCCTCCGGTTTGGGAAGGATATGGCATAAAAGCATTCAATACGCACACATATAACACACACACTTTGGTTTGAAGAGGTCAGGATGTGCAATGAGAGAGGACCAGCCAGGTTGGCTGGGAAAGCCTGAGAACATGCCAGGGTATGAATCTCTGGCCAATGGGGGTAGTGGCTGTGCTCATTTAGGCTCCTTAGATTCCGTGCCAGGATGTGAGGGTTTCCTGGTGTGCCTGCTTCCCTGCCAGAGCACGATCTCTGGGCTCTCCTCAGTTACCTGCTGGGCTGCAGGTGGAAACCTTGGGGGTGAACATGGATCTGGGTGCTGGTTTTGAGTGGAGAAAGAGATGACTTTCAGGGAGCCCAGAGGTTCCAACTCTGTGGAACAGAGAGGCAGAGGCCTGGGAGCTCAGGTGTCCTTCCTCTAAGCCTCAAGAATGGTGTCAACAGGGTTCACACCTTATTCACCAACTGACCTTGTGAGCGTTTTTCAGCCTGGGCGGGGGGCTGTCCCGGAGCCTCTTCATGGCTTGCACTGGAGAGTCACTGAAGTAGGGTGGCTCTCCATCCACCATCTCAATCACCATGATGCCCAGAGACCAGATATCCACCTGCAGGAGGAGAATGTCCCTCACACAACTGACCAGGGTCTCCAGGGGAGGGGGACAGCTGTTCCCAACTCTTCTTGGTGAGTCTACCTCCTTCCTCCCCTGGCCACCTGCCCTCAGTCAATTGCTTCCTGCATTCATGACCATTAATGGTAAGGGTACAGCTGTCACACATGGGGAAGCCTGGCCACACCCCACCCTGCCCTAGAGCTGAGGGATTTTTAGGGACCTACTCCTGACAGTAAAGTCACAGGTGAGAGTAGCCCCATCCATGTGGGGGAGGGAACTACTAAAAGGGGATCTGAAAACCAGGACTTTTTTTTTTCGGGGGGGGGGGAGCATAGAGGGGGCCACAAAGGGAAGAACTGTGTTTCCAAGCCTCTTCTGGGAGAAGGGACTGTGGGGAGGGACCAGTTACCTCAGTAGCATACAGAGACCTGGAGATCACTTCCGGAGCCATCCAGTAGGGGGTTCCCACCAAAGACTTCCTCTTAGGGACGTCTTTGCTAATCTGAGCACAGAATCCAAAGTCGGAGAGCTTCACCTGGTTTGGGGTGAGAGGTGGGAAGGCAAGTGAGCGTTGAAGTAGAGGAGGTGTGATGCTGGGGACAGGGAAGTGGGAGGCATGGTGTGCCAGGGAATGGGAGCCTACCCTGCCATCAAGGGTGAGCAGGATGGAGTCGCTCTTGATGTCCCGGTGGATGACACCCTGAGCATGCAGGTAAGCCAGGGCCTGCAGCACGGCCTCACACACAGTGGCAATCTGCTCCTCGTTCAGCCTGGACAGGGAAGAGCACTCTAGTTTTGCAGGGCAGCTGGACTGGGCACGGTAGGAGGCCCACAGCCTCTGGGACCTGGGCTGTAGACGCTTTTCTCTTCCCCCAGTATCTCAAGTGACCCTATCTTGGCAATAAGGTGTTCAGGACAATTTGGCAGGGACCCCAAATCTCCTGGGCCAGAGGATTCCAGATATCCCCATCAAAGCAATGGTGGGACATGGGCTCTCAGGGGCCCGGCCCTCCCAGCTACCCACCTGACTTGGGAGACGATGTCCGTGAGGGCCCCGCCCTGCAGGAACTCCATAAGCACCCACAGCTCCTCGCCCACCAGGTAGCTCTTGTACATCTCCACCACGTTGAGGTGCTGGTAGTCCCGCATGATCACCACCTGGGGGGACAGGGGGGTGGCTGAGTGCTAGGCACAGCATGCAAGAGGCTTGGATAGCCACTGCCCATCCCAGTGCCCCTCACAAGTCCTGGCCTCTCCTCCCACCTCGTTAAAGAGCAGTTCCCGGCGTTGCTGCTTCCTGAGGTCCATCATCTTGACAGCCACCTGGCGGCCTGAGTGCTTCTCCCGGGCCAGGCAGACGATGCCCGTGGAGCCCTCACCAATCTTCATGTAGCTGTCCAGCAGCAGCCGGGGGTCGCCCTGGTCCACCACCATCCTGAGCGCAGCCTTGAATTGCTCATGTGTTACAACACCTGTGTCCTCGCAAGCCAGGGCACCCTTGGCGGCCGCAGGATCCTGGGGCAGGTACAGGTTGCTGGTGCTGATCTGGGCATGCCGGGTGCGGGGGGAGCCTGCTGGGGAAGACCGGCCTGGAGGCAGGCCAGCGCCTGGGGTTGTGCGGAGGGACTTCTGGGGGCTGCTGGTATCTGAGGTGGTCAGAGGGCTAAAGTTCCCCACAGGCTGGTCCGAGGGCAAAGACTGGGCCTTGGCCACCAGGCTTGGGGGGCAGTCTTTCTGTGGTGGTGAGAAACAGGAGTTGGGCTGCAGGGAGAAAGAAACAGGAAGAGGTTTGGCTGTTGAAATGTTTGGAGCAAACTTCCCAAGGGGGTGGGTGGGGTGACCTCTGGACATTGGTAAGGTCAGGCAGGGTGTCAGATCAAAGTGTGGAGCTGATGGTGAGCAAATATTTTCAGACATCTAACACCGGACTGAGTCAGAACCAAGTCAACGGGCACTTAACAACAATACCACTGCCAAAACACTACCACTTATCTGTCAGTTTGTTGTACTCTGGTGGCTTGCGTGTGGCTATGATGCTGGAAGCTACGGTACCAGTGAGGTCACACATGGACAGGCTTCAACAGAGCCTACAGACCAGGAAGAAGGAGAGGCAGCTACTTTTGAATGGTTAGCCAGCAGCAGAACATCATCAGATACAGTGCCGGAAGATGAGCCCCTGAGGTTGGAAGGCACTCAATGTACAACTGGGGAGGAGCTGCCTCCTCAAAGTAGAGTTGACCATGATGACGTGAGTGGAGTAAAGCTTTCAGGACCTTCATTGGGCTGATAAGGCCCAACTCAAAATGAGAAATAGCTGCAAACATCCATTAATAATTGGAACATGAAATGTATGAAGTATAAATCTAGGAAAATTGAAATTCGTTGAAAATGAAACGGAACGCATAAACATTGATAACCGAGGCATTAGTGAACTGAAATAGACTGATATTGGCCATTTTGAATCCGACAATCATGTGGTTTGCTATGCTGGGAATGACAAATTCAAGAGGAATGGAGTAGCATACATCATCAAAAAGAACATTTCAAGGTCTATCATGAAGTATGTTGTTTGTTGTCTGTGATAGGATAATAGCCTAACATGGAAGACCAGTTAATACCACTTTTATTCAATTTTACACACCAACCACTAAAGCCAGTGATGATGAAACTGAAGAATTCTACCAACTATTTCAGCCTGAAATGGATCAAACATGCAATCAACATGTATTGATAATTACTGATGATTGGAATGCAAAGGTTGGAAACAAAGAAGAAGGATCAGTATTTGGAAAATAAGGCCTTGGTGACAGAACTGATGCTGAAGATCACATAACAAAAGTTTGCAAGGCCAATGACTTATTCATTGCTAAGCATAGTGGTTGTGAATCGGGCTGCGAACCCTAAGGTTAGCAGTTTGAAACTACCAGATGTTCCGTGGGAGAAAGATGAGGCTTTCTGCTCCGGTAAAGATTTACAGCCTCGGAAACCCTGTACAGGGTCGCTATGAGTCGGAACCGACTCCATGGCACATAACCACCACCACCACCAATACTTTTTTTAAACAACATAAAAGACGACTATACACATGGACCTCACCAGATGGAATAAAATACACAGGAATCAAATTGACTACATCTATGAGAAGAGATGGAGTCCTAGTGTGGCACTGTAGAATCAGAACTGGACTGTTAACCACAAGGTTGGCCGTTCAAACTCACCAGCTGCTCCTCGGAAACCTTACACAGGGTAGCTATGAGTTGGAATTGACTCCACGATACTTAACAGCAACACCAATGAGAAGAGATGGTGGAAAAAGCTCAATTATCATCAGCCAAAATAAGGCCAGGGGCAGACTGTGGAACTTGCTCATATACAAGTTCAGATTGAAGCTGAAGAAAATTAAAACACATCCACAAGAGTCAAAATATGACCCTGAACATATAATGACTGAAGACCAAAAGAGTTGTGAGATGACATCAAGAGCATCATGCAGGAAGAAAGCAGAAGGTCATTAAAAAGACAGGAAAGAAAGAAAAGACAAAAATGGATGTCAGGATCAGCTGCAGGCTCTAGGTCCATGAACTATTTGGCTTGCAGAATGTGCCCTTTGGACATTTAAATGAACATATATATCTTTTTAAGGTTTTTATTGCGAATTAAGTGATAGTTTACATGGGAGAACATTGGTTTTACACCATTATTTCATTGTAATGATTACAGTCCCCTCCGAGCATCATCATTCAACACACATGAACATATTATTTTTTGTTTTGTATGTCTACATCAAATATTTTGCTTTGTTTATTTGTGAAATATAAGATGTAAAAGGGAAGCCACAGAGAGGAAGCAGGATAACTGTTGCAGGGAGGAGATAGTAGCATTGAGGTGAAACAGAGCATATAATTTGTTGAATGTAAAGCTGATGATCTTGTCTGTCAACCTTCCCTCAATTCGCAAAAAAAAGTAAAAAAAAAAAAAAAAGGATGCCAGAAGATATTCTGAAACTTGCTCTCCAGCGTACAGATGCTAAGTTGAATGAAAGAACTAAGGAAGTAAAAGATCTGAACAGAAAATTGCAAAGGGCAACTTGAGAAGACATAGTCAATTATTATAATGAAATATGCAAAGACCTGGAGTTAGAAAACTAAAGAACACATTCAGTAGTTTTCAAGCTGAAAGAACTGAAGAAAAAAATCAAGCCTCGACTTGAAATACTGAAGGATTCTATAGGTAAAATATTGAAGGATGTAGACAGTATCAAAAGAAGATGGAAGGTTATACATAGCGTCCCTGTAACAAAAAGAAATGGTCGATGTTCAACCATTTTAAGAGGTAGCATTTGATCAAGGATCAATGATACTGAAGGAAGAAGTTCAAGCTACACAGAAGGTATTGGCAAAAAATAAGGTTCCAGGAATTGATGGAAGGAGCCATCATAGCTTGGTGGATTACGAGTTGAACTACTAACCTCAGGGTCAGTAGTTCAAATCTACCATCTGCTCCGAAGGAGAAAGATGAGGCTTTCTGTTCCTGTAAAAGATTTACAGCCTCGGAAAATACATAAAGGGTCACTATGAGATGGAACCAACTCCGAGGCATACAACCAACACTATCACCAGGGATAGACGGAATACACATGGAAATCTTTCAGCAAACTGATACAGCACTGGAGGTGTTCACTCATCTACACAAAAAAATTTGGAAGATAGCTACTTGGTCAACCCATTGGAAGAGATCCATATTTGTGCCCACTCCAAAGAGAGATGACCCAACAGAATAAAGAAATAATCGAATAATATAATTAACACAAGCAAGTAAAATTTTACTAAATATAATTTAAAAACAGCTGCAACAGTATATCAATAGGAAACTTCCAGAAACTCAAGCTGGTTTCAGAAGAGGACATGGAACTAGGAATATCATTACTGACATCAGATGGATCTTGGCTGAAAGTAGAGAATACCAGAAAGATTTGTTTACTTGTACTTCACTGACGATGCAAAAGCTTCCGACTATGTAGATCATGACAAGCTATGAATAACACTGTGAAGAACACTTAATTGTGCTCACAAGGAACCTGTACATAAACCAAGAGGCAGTCGTTTAAACATACCTTACTTGTTCACTCTGTATGCTGAGCAAATAATCTGACAAACTGGATTATATAAAGAAGAATGTGGCGTCAGAATTGGAGGAAGACTCATTAACAACCTATGATAATGTAGATAATACAATCTTGCTTGATGGAAGCAAAGAGAACTTAAAATATTTATTGATTAAGATAAAAGACTATAGCCTTCATTAAGGATTTTACTTCAATGTAAAGAAAACAAAGATGCTCACAATTAGATAAATAAATAACATAATGACAAATGGAGAAAAGATCGAAGTCGAAGATTTCATTTTTCTGGGAGCCACAATCAGCATTCATGGAAGCAGCAGTCAAGAAATCAAAGGATGTATTGCATTAGGTAAATCTGCTGCACAAGACCTCTTTAAAAATTTCAAGAACAAAGATGTCAGTTTGAGGAATAAAGTGCTCTTAATCCAAACCATGGTATTTTCAATAGTCGCATATGCCTGTGAAAGTTGGACAATGAATAAGGAAGACCTTAGAATAACTGATGCATTTGAGTTACGGTGCTGGAGAATACTGAAAGTACCATGGATGCCAGAAGAACAAACAAGTCTGTGTTGGAAGAAGTACAGCCAGAATGCTCCTTAGAAGCCAGGATGACCAGATTTCATCTCTCACACTTTGGACATGTTATCAGGTGGGACCAGTTCCTGGAGAAGGACATTATGCTCAGTAAAGTGGATGGTCAGCCAAAAAGAGGAAGAACCTTCACAAGATGGATTGGCACAGTGGCAGCAGCAATAGATTCAAGAGTAACATCAATTTTGAAGATGGTGCAGGATTGGGCAGTGCTTTGTTCTGTTGTGCATAAGGTCACTATGAGTTGGAACCAACCTGATGGCACATTAACAACACCACTACCACCAAACCATAGTTGTGCTTGGGAAACTAGCTTGCAATGCTTCAGGGGAGCAGGCTCAATAATAGCTCTTCCCATCCCCTCTGCTATCCCTGGGGTGTCTTCGAGCTGAATTGATAACCAGACCTTAGGAAGACCACTAGGGGGCAGAGTTTTCATTCCGTGCTGTGGCTACACAGAGGATTCCTGTCAGAGGTGTTCTTTACTCTGCTACTCAGCATTACACCCAACCTGGCCCAAGCCAGACAAGGGTCCACAGGAAGAGATCCTCGGCAGTGGGTGGGGAGCAGCAGGGCAGCTGTGACTGACCCCCACAACTGAGGCAGGGAAGCCATGACTGGGGTCTGATAGCCCTGCTTGGACCTCCCCTGTGCTGAGGTAAAGAGCTGGACAGAGGACTATGGAGCCATGTTACCAGCTGGGGTTGTTACCTCTGGTTTTCCCTCTGGCCTGGGGACCTGGAGTCAGGTGAACAGGCCCAGCCAAACTCAAATCTTGGTGTGGAGGGAGAGGCCCAGGTACATATCAGAGCTTGGGGTTCCTGAGGCTCCCAGAGCTGCTCTCCACTCCCTGTCAGACAGCTGCTCCCCCCCAACCCCCCAACAAGGAAGGAAAGGCATGGGCTATCGTATGGCCTCTGGTGGGGAAGGAAGGGGTGAAACTGGGTGTCAGCCTGGGTCGGGGTGAGTCTTCCAGACCCAAGCGCTCCTGCTACACCTCTTCAGGTGTAGGTGATGTGCAACACAAGTCCTCCCAGGGAATGTGTGCTTTTAAAGCGTACGTGGCGAACTCATACATAGCCCACAGGGAACACTTTAATTGAGGTTGCCTTCTCGAAACTTCTCCAGAGCCATCGAAGTTGGTTCTGGACCTAGTTCCTGGAGCTCAATCATCTCCCAGGACATCTCCCACCATCACTGGGGGCTGGGTCACTTGCTCAGAGATCCAAGACTGAGGTCCTCAGGCCCTGTCTAGCTCAGCTAGAGCCTTTCCAATGCCATCAGCACTTCCCCTTCAGGTTTCAGGACCCCCATCCCACCCAGTCCATGGCCTTGCCTGGGGTCACATGTGGATGGCAACCAGGTTCACAGAGCACCTGTCCCTATACCAACTCACTGCTTACTGCTCCACTGCTGGCCATCGATAGTGCCTAGCTCAGGATCAATCTTTGAGGGACAGCCAGGAAAGCCTTCTGGAACTGCCTCAACTTTAAATCCATCCCCAGAGGGCCCATGTAAACAGTAAATCCATTCTCCCTTGACTCTGCAGCCCCAATCCCTCCTCCCTTCTCTGTGTAGTAGAGCCCTCCTGGACTCGGGGCTCAGGAGACCTGTCCTGGCTCTGTTCTGCCTGCAATGAACCTTAGCAAAGTCACTCTCTCTGAGCCAGTCCCTGTTGAAGTAAAGGGACCGTACGGAGCATGATCAGGGGACCTGGGTAAATGAAGGTCCCAGGAGCTCTGGAAGTGTAGTGGTTATGAATCAGGCTGCTAACCTCAAGGTCGGCAGTTTGAAACTACCAGCCGTTCCATGGGCGAAAGATAAGGCATTCTGCTCCTGTAAAGATTAACAGCTTCGGAAACCCTGTGTAGAGTCACTATGAGTTGGAACTGACGCCACAGTACTTTACAACAACAACAACAGGCCCTCCTAGAATAGAACTGTATTTTAACCAGGTCTCTGATTTCAAATGTGGGGGCTCTGTGGACCACACTTTGAGAAGCTCTGGTAAGATGGGCTCTGGGAGGCCAGGGCTGGGGGTGGAGGGAGCATGACCACCATTGTTATACTGGTCCTTGACCTTTCCCTACCTTGAAGGTTCTAAGGAACACTGTAAAATGATGCCCTTCACCTTCAGGGTGACTCCACACATTATTCTTCTAGTGGTTTCTTTCCCAAGAAGGGGTCTCAGTCACACAAATAATTCTGGAGTTAATCCAAAGCCTGGAACACTTAACTAACTCCATCTTGTCCCCCTTTCCATAAGTTTTGTCTGGTTCTTTCTTAGAAGCTTCCCACCCCACCCCATTCCCCGTGTATAGATAAGTAGCAAAGTCAAGTAAAGGATACTGGGGACCAGATCCTGCTGGAGTGAAGATTGGGCTGGCCCTACCTACCCCATATCCCGGGTCATTTGGTGCTGGGCTCTTGCTGGATCCCTGCTTTTTGCTGCCTTCATCCAGGACCCACCCCAGCCCCATTCCCCAGAAACAGGTTCTGTCCCAGCTCAGCCAATGTCTGCAGCAGTGTCACCAGGATGTCATAAAACATGTCAGATTCCAGGTTGCCTGCCAAGGCACACAAACATCACCACTAGGGTTCCATTAAAAAGATGGCTATCAACTTGTGCCTAGACCCAGGCAGGTTCAGTCCACTAACTTTTCACAGGACACACATACTTGAGAATATGTACTTAAGGAAACAATAAAACAAGCACCATGATAAAGGGGGAAGGAGGGGAGGCAGGAAGGCAAACAGGAAGGTAGACGTGAAGGTAGAACGGAAGACAGGCAGGAAGAAATTCTCACTGGATGAAGGGGGTCACATGACAATTTCTGACTCCTTAGCAAGAAAGAGCCCACTCTACCGGTACTCAGGAGAGCACTGGGGCAAGTGAGGGGTGGACAGGGAAAGACGTTCTAGAAGAGTGTGCAGACAAAGACTCCTCCACGGGGCTAGAGTCTGTCTCTGCAGGTGTCTGGAGAGGGCTGCTAGGCATTGAGAGCAGGGCTCCAGGCTTGTGGTTCCAGATACTGGGTTTTTTCAGAGGGGTGTCTGCCACCCAGTGTGGTTGCCTAGACATACGTGAGAGCAAGAGACTAAGCTGGAAGTGCTACCGCCCCTGTAAGGGCCCCTCTGGAAAATGACTGGCTCACAATCTGGGACTCACATATGCTCAGCCTTTGGAGAAGGGTGGGCTCAGGGAGTTCAGGGGAGAACCTTGAGCTAGTTTCTTGATCAGTTTGGTCCCTTAGAGTCTTCTCAACCCTCACCCTGTAAGTCGGGAGGGTCAGACAAGGCCTGGGTCCCTGACATTCTATCCTCCTGAGAGTGGCCCCAGAAGGAAGTCCAAGCTGACCTACCTTGCTCTGTGCTGGAGGGCTTGGCTTGCTGTTGCTTGGAGGCGCCGTGGGTGTCCCCGGAGTGAACAGGAACATGCTTCGGAAGAGCCTGCGCTTAAGGCTGCTCTCCTGGGTCTTCGGGCTGGGACTGCCCTCCCCACTGGGCCTGCCCGTGGCTGAGCCCACCAGGCAGGACTGTGGCCGAGGCTCTTCGGAGCCATGCCTGACAGCCTTGGTCCCACGCCTGCCGGTGGCCGTGGGGGGCGAGGTGCCTGGTGGGGAACTCTGCAGGCAGGTGCCCAGCTGCAGGCAGCGCTGCGTGGCACCCTGGAACTCAGCAGGGCCCAGGGACTGTGCCTTCGTGGCTAGACCATTGGTCAGGACCCGTGGGTTCTGTGGCTCGGGCCACGGCATCTGTCTGGGACCTGCTGGGGTGTCCCCGTTGCAACTGAGGTAGAGGCCATGGGGGTCAGTGCTTTCTGACTGGGGACTCTGCAGGTACATGTCGGGGTCAGCAGCCCAGTGTTCATCCCCCAGCAACCCCAGGGACTGTGCCCGCCTCCGGCTGGTCGGGCTGCGGCCACGCAGGGTATTGGAGCTGATGACCGACAACTTCTGGATGTCATTAAGCAGCCCCAAGATGTAGCCATCTGTGGGCACAGAGCTACCCCGCACCACCGTCTGTGGGAGAGAAGAGAACATGTGAGCAGCCTGTCTGCACCAGCAGCCAGGGGCACCCAGGGAGGAGGAACTGGGGAAAGGACCTTTGGGAGGAGTGCCCATGGGTTTCTAAGGCCCTCCTGTGCTATGTCATCCATCCATTCATTCATTTTATCATCATTTACCCAGGCCCACAGTGGGTCAGGCCCATGTTGGGGCAGAGATACAGAAATGCGTCTAGGCTCTGTTTCCAGCAAGGCAAGACCACAGGATAACTGGAGGGTTACAATCCAGCAGCCAAGTAACATGGTGAGCTGAGCCTAGAGAGCTGAGAGGACAGGGTGGGGGCCATCTGTCCCCGGGGTGAGTCTAGGCCAAGCTGCTGCTCTCCAGCTCTACCTGTGGACTCAGAGATGTGCTGAGCTCTCTGAGGAGACAGGGATGATCCATGCAACTGAAAGGGCCTCTCACCCCAGCCCCTCCCAGGCTTTTCTGCCCTTCTTGACCCACACAATGAAATCCCCTGGTCTGTGAGAGCCCCTAGCCCATTTTTGGGCTCCAGCTTTCCCCATCCAAAAGCTTTGGCACAACAGAAAGCCAGAGAGAGAGCAGTCCTCTTTCGGTACCACTGACAGAACATCTATTCACACTTGAACTCCATTTTCTAGTATACGTATGTCCTGGTGTGATGCTGTATGATCAGCACTGGATCTCGAGGTCGGTTTGAACCACAAAGTTGGCGGTTTAAATCAGAAACTCAATACAAGGTCAGTCTGAGTCAAAACTGACTCGATGGCACTTAATAACAACAATGACAACATCCCAAATACTGCAAGGGGCATACTTATACCAAAAGATTATTCATTGTTATCTGGAATTCAAATTCAAGTGGACATTCTGTATTGGCTAAATCTGGCAACCCGGCAGAGAAGGATTCCCCAGAGAGAGGAGAAAGACTGGTTAGCAAGGAACGAATTAATAACTGATTGGGGGTTGCTCTAGGTGACTATGTGGTTGTACCAAGCATGGTTTTCTGTGGAGTGGGAGAGACTGAATTCACCCAGCATCCCTGCCTGCCCACCTTACCTTCATGGGCTGGAGCTGTACCCGCGTGATGCGTGAAGGGTCCACCACAGGCTTGGGTCGCCGCAGAGTGTCCAGGATGTTCTGCCATTGTGGGGGGAGGCCCACAAACTTGCCTTCTTTGGGGTCAAAGGAAGTGTGGACACGGTGCTGGAAGTTCTGTGGGGCTGAAATCTCAGGGCGTTTCTTCTTTTTCTTGCGGAACATAGTGCCTGGACAGGAGGTCAAGATGAGACTAGGTAAGGCTTCACCAGAGGGCTCCCCCATCCCCTTGCCTGCCGGCACAGCCCCCTCACACTCATCCCTGCTTCCTCAGGGAAATGGCTGGCTCCCAGTAGAGTAATCCCAGAAACAACAAAAGCACCATAAATAAGCCAGCACAGACTGTAAACAAGGAAAAGAGGTGTCTGTCTCTTTGTCTGTGCCAAGGCCCCTGCCGAGGAGGCAGACTATGGGGGCGTGTTTTCGTAAAAGCCAAAGCCCATTACAAATATCATTCCACTGTCAAGGAACGAAGAAAAGAGGAAAGAGGGAGGAAAACTAGCAAACTCATTTTATGAAGCTTGTATGACTTGGATCCTTAAATCAGATAAGAACATTACAAGAACAGGAAAACGTGAGCCAATCTCACGTATGAATATAAATGTGAAAATCCTCAACAGAACTAGCAAGTTTAATCTAACAGTATGTTAGCGTTTTTGTTTTGTTTTGTAAATTATAATCAACTGAAGTTTTTCTCAAGATGGTTCAACAACAGAATACTGTTAAGGGGATACACACATTAGCAAGAGCCAATGTGGTGTCCAATTGAGATGTGGTATCTGGTCTGGAGTCACTCATGTTGTTGTAGTAATGTGCCGTGGAGTGGGTTCCAACTCATAGCGACCCTCTACAGGGTTTCCGAGGCTGTAAATCTTAACGGGAGCAGAAAGCCTCATCTTTCTCCCACGGAACAGCTGGTAGTTTCGAACTGCTGCTGAAGGAGCAAGGACTTTGGGATGAAACACAACTGTTTGAGTTGCAAGATGAGGCAGAAAGCCTCATCTTTCTCCTGCAGAACAGCTGGTAGTTTCGAACTGCTCCCTGAAGGAGCAAGGACTTTGGGACGAAACACAACTGTTTGAGTTGCAAGTCTACCGCTAATCTGGGGAGACTTTGAGCAAGTTACTTAAATAATTTGACCTCAGTGTTCTTTATGTATAAAATGAGAATAAAAGTTATCTCCAGACAATTTAGACATTGGCTATCAAAAATGGGGGGCTATAAAGGAACAAAGTGGCTGACTTGCAAACTTTCATGAGTGTGCTTAGTTTCAGAATGAGGGGGTTAAGGAAGAATCTCCACTGAATAGTTTTCCTCTTTTTCCAGGTAGGCCTGATGAAAGGGAATGAAGGAGGATGGGGATTGGATTTTGATTCAATTCTGAGGAACTGTTTTCAGGACAAATTATAATTGTCACAACCGTAAATGTAAAAGAAGTGTAACTAAAAAGGGGAAGGTAGTTAATCTTTCATTTCAGGAACAGAGGACCCGAGGACCAGCAAGAGGGAAGAGCCTGAGTGGAGCGTGGGATCCTAACCAGAAGAGCGGTGACAGCAGAGACAGGGACAGAGGCAATGGTAGAGAGAGAGAGAGCAGCTGAGGACTCCAGGCTCTGTGCCTGCGGGCAGGAGGCTGTCTTGAAGAGTGTGCCTTTAGGACATTTAAACAAATATGTATTTTCTGTTTTGTATGTGCACATCAAAAAAACAGAGGGGTGGGAATAAAGGTAAATACTGTTAACTGATGGTACATGGAAGGGGTTGTAATCATTGCAATAAAACAAAATATGGTTTATTGAATGTAAAACTGATAAATTGCCCTGTAAACTTTCACTCAATTCACAAATAAAAACTTAAAAAATAAAAACGGCAATCTCACACGGTTTAGGGGGTATTATGTGATTATGAGAGCAGAGTCCTAATAATGGTGCTGTTTCTCTTGCGGACTTCTCTCTTTATATCTCTGTGGGGGGTTACATGTTTGTGAGTGATGTTGAACTTCTTTCCTCTAATATTTACCTGTCAAGGTAAATATTATGCCTCATTGCAGGGTCCTGGGATCTGGGAACCACCACATTTCTCTTATGGAAATTCTTGGTTGTTGTTGATGTTGTTAGATGCTGTTGAGTCTCTTCCAAGTCACAGTGACAATATGTACAACAGAATGAAGCACAGCCCAATCCGGCACCACCCTTCCAATCACTGTTACGCTTTAGCTGTTGCTGCATCACTATGTCAATCTATCACACTGGGTTCTTCCTCTTTTTCTATGATGCTCTATTTTACCAAGCATGAAGTTCTTTTCCAGGGACTGGTCTCTTCTGATGACATATCCAAAGTACGTGATACAAAATCTCACTATCTTCACTTCTAAGGAGCATTGTGGTTGTACTTCTTCCAAGACACATGTGTTTGCTCTTCTGGCAGTCCACTGTACTTTCAATATTCTTTGCCAACACCACAGTTCAACTGCGTCAATTCTCTCCAGTCTTCCTTACTCACTATCCAGCTTTCAAGTGCATGTGAGGAGGTTGAAAATACCATGACTTGGGTCAGGTGCACCTATATCCTCAAAGTGACATCTTTACTCTTTAACACTTTAAAGAGGTTTTGTGCAGCAGATATGCCCAATGCTATATATAGTTTGATTTCTTGACTACTGCTTCCATGAACATTGATTATTGTTGTTGTTAAGTACTGTTGAGTTGGTTCCGACCCATAACAACCCTGTATAGGGTTAGAGCCAAATAAATTGAAATCCTGGCCAACTTCAATCTTTTCTCCATTTATTATGACATTGCTCATTGGTCCAGTTGTGAGGAATTTTGCTTCCTTTACATTGAGATGTAATACAGATTGAAGGCTGTAGTATTATATCTTCTTCATCAAGTGCTTCAAGTCCTCATTTTTAGCAAGCAAGGTTGGTGTCATCTGCACATGGCAAGTTGTTAATGAGCCTTCCTCTAATCCTGATGCCACGTTCTTCTTCATATAGTCCAAATTCTTGGGTTATTTGCTCAGCATAGAGATTGAGTAAGTATGATGAAGAATACAACCCTGGCACACACCTTTCCTTATTTTAAACCAGACAGTATCCCTTTGTTCTGTTAGAATGACTGCTTCATGCTCTATACACGGGTTCTGCATGAACACAATTAAGTGTTCTGAAATTCCTATTCTTTGTAATATTATTCATAGTTTGTTATGATCTACACAGTTGAATACCTTTTCATAGTTAATAAAACGCAAGTAAACACCTTTCTGGTTTTCTCTGTTTTCAGTCAAGATCCATGTGATGCCAGCAATGATATCCCCTTCTCCACTTCTGAATCCGGTTTAAATTCATCAGACTTGTTGATATGCTGCTATTATTGATATGCTGGAATTATCTTCAGCAAAAATTTACTTGCATGTGATATTATTCAATAATTTCTGCATTCCACTGGATCAAGTTTCTTTGGGATATGGACCTCTTACAGTTGCTTGGCCAGGTAGCTAGCATCTTCCAAATTTCTTGGCATAATGAGTGAGCACTCCAGTGCTGCAGCAGTTTGTTGAAACATTCCAATTGCTATTCTGTCAATTCCTAGAGCCCTGGTTTTCATCAATGCCTTCAGTGCAACCTGGACTTCTTCATTCGATACCATTGGTTCTTGATAACATGTTGCCTCCTGAAGTGGCTCAATGTCTACCAATTCTTTTTGGTACAGTGACACTGTATGCCTTCCATCTTTTTTGGATGTTTCCCACATAGTTCAATATTTGCCCATAGAATCTTTCAATATTACAAGTTGAGGCTTGAGTTTTCCCTTCAGTTATTTTAGCTTGAGAAACGCTGAACATGTTCTTCCCTTTTGGTTTTCTAACTCCAGGTCTTTGCACATTTCATTATCATACGTGATTTTGTCTTCTTGAGCTGCCCTTTGAAATTTTCTGTTCAGCTCTTTATTTCATCACTTCTTTCAGTCACTTTAGCTTCTTTATGTTCAAGAGCAAGACTCAGAGACTCTTCTGACATCTATTTATGTCTTTTCTTTCTTTCTTATCATTTAAATTGTCTTTTTCCTGTCTTTTAACACATGTATGATGTTCTTGATGTCATCCCACAACAATTCTAGTCTTTGGTGATTAATGTTGAATGAGTCAAATCTGTTCTTGAGATGGTTTCTAAATTCAGGTGAGATATACTCAAGGTTGTATTTTGACTTTCATGGACTCGCTTTAATTTTCTTTAGCTTCAGCCTGAACTTGCATATGAACAATTGATGGGCCTTGTTTTGATGATGATATTGAGCTTTTCCATTATCTCTTCCATTAGATGTAGTGACTTTGAATCCTCTGTATGTCATGTGACAAGGCCCACATTTATAGTTTTTAGTGTATCTATACTACCTTTCACAGAGAACTTCCAGAGGTTCAAGCCAGATTCAGAAGAGGCCATGGAACAAGGGATATCATTGCTGATGTCTAATGGATCTTGGCTTTTGATTGTGTGGATCATGACAAGCTATGGACAACATTGTGAAGTATGAGTATTCCAGGACACTTAATTGTGCTCATGAGGAATCTGTAACTGGACCAAGAGGCAGTTGTTCGAACAGAACATGGAAACACTGAATGTTTTAAAATTAAGAAAGGTGTGCAACAGGGTTGTATTCTTTCACCATACTTATTCAACCTGTATGCTGAGCAAATAATATGAGAAGCTGGATTCTATAAAGGAAAACACGGCATTAGGATTGAAGGAAGACTTATTAACAAGCTATGATATGCAGAGGATACAACCTTGCTTGCTGAAAGTGAAGAGGGCTTAAAACATTTACTGATGTATGGATTACATCTCAAAGTCAAGAAAACAAAAATCCTCACCACTGGCCCAATAAACAACATTCTTATCAACGGAGAAAAGATTGAAGTTGTCAAGGACTTCATTCTTCTTGGATCAACTATCAACACTCATGGAAACAGCAGTCAAGAAATCAAATAACGTATTGCATTAGGCAAATTTGCTGCACAAGACCTTTTTATAGTGTTGAAGATCAAAGCTGTCAGCTTGAGGACTAAGGTGCGCCTGACCCAAGACATGGTATTTTCAAATAACATCATATGCATGTGAAAGCTGGACAGTGAATAAGGAAGACTATAGAAGAATTTTCATATTTGAGCT